ATTTTTCAGACTCCCTAGAGTTAATGACATGTAAGTAGTAATGAGAAAATTTAGCCCCTGGACTTTCGTTTCCTTTTTTTAAAACAAATAAATTGCCTATTTTTGTTAATATTTGTTTAAAAAGGAAGAGAGAAACAGCAAGAGAGCAAGCAATCTCATCTGCTGGTTTACTCTCCAGATTCCCACGACAACTGAGGATGAGTCTGCTCAAAGCCAGGAACTCAAGCTCAATCTTTATCTCCATGTTTGCAGCAAGGACACAAGTACTTGACCCATCACTTGCTGTCTTCAGGGACACACATTAGCAGGAAGTTGGGAAGAAGAGCAGAGCCGGGACTCTACCCTAGTCATGCTGATATGTGATGCTGGCATGCCCTGCAGCAGCTTAACTTCTTTGCCAAAATACCACGCCCTAACTGCTATTTCTAACTGCTATTCTCTAAAAGAACTCAAGGCTCCTTGGAGATAAGGCTGATTCAAGGACTGGGGCATGAAAAATACCATATTAGCTATGATCTTGTTTCACCAGAAAGTAAGATAATGTTCAAAGAATGTTGGAATTCAGGCACAGAGAGGCAACTACCACGTGGCCCCACTTATATGTGAAATCTGAAATAGGTGATCTCACAGAAATGCAGAGTATAATACTTGTTACTGGGAACAGGATGGAGAGAAGGTGGTCAACAGATAACTGAGTTATATTTAGAAGGAAGTAAGTTCTGGTCTTCTGTGGGACAGTAGGGTGATAGTTAACAGTAATGCATTAAGCATTGTTTTTTTAAAGTGGTTAGAAGAGGACTTTTAATGTATTCATCATAAATTAATAATAAAAGATTAAGGAGATTTATATTCTAATCTCCTGAATTGAACCTTAGTCAGTGTATACATGAATCAAAACATCACATTGTACCTCATACATATGTATAAATGTTATATAAAAATTAATTTAAAATAATGTTGCTGGTATCATAAAGATAAAATTCAGTTTGACAGGGCTTCTACCAACCAAATAGGAGGGAATTAATTCATCTATATAAATTATGATAATAATGAGTTGTGGCACATTGATCAAAGTAATACCTTTTATTTCAATAAATAGTAAATAATAATTTGGGTAAATGAAAATATTGTATATTTATAACAACATAACTTACTTCATTAATATACCAATAAAGAATTTTTTTTTGGATGAGGGAAACTATTGCCTAATGTTATAATCAGTATTGAAGGAGTTATCAGTGGATTCTAACTAGTGTATAAAAGTTTTTTAAAGACGAAATTAGGCAGAAAAAGAGAAAGGAAGTAACAGAGAGCCCACCTATCCTTTTGTTTACTCCACAAGTGACTGCAACCCAATCCAGTATCACAGTCCAAGTCCCCACATGGTGACAGGAACCCAATTACTTGAATAATCTTCACTGCCTTTACTGATCTGCATTAGAAGTAAGTTGCAATTAGGAATCCATGCTGGCAGTGAAACCAGTATTCCAGTTTTGAACCTCGGTATCTTAACTGCTAGGTGCAGTGCCTACTTCTGGGCAACTATTTTGTGAGATATTTATATAATTTGAAAATATCTCCCTAAAATGGCATATTAATTGCAACTGACTACTAAAACTTTATAGTAGGAAATCTTGGGAAAATAGTATCTTGCAAAAAATTCAAAGTAACAGTGACAGTATTTTGTGACAAATTGACATCATGTGTCTCCTGAGAAGTTTTTAATGTAGTTCAGGGATACAATATTCATGATATTACATTGAGACTAAGATCCAGCTAAGACCAAGAAGTTGAGAGATGCTTTATTTTATTTTGAAAGAGAGCCCAACGTAGTCAAGAGCATAGCCTGTGAAACCAGATTCCATGGGTTTAAATTCTGGTTCTATCACTGACTAGTACTTCTGGCGAGTCAAATACATATGCCTTAGTTTCTTCATTTTTAAAGAGCAGACAATAATAGCCTTTACATCACAGGGCTATTGGGAAGGTTTAATGAGTAAATCAATACAAAGTACTCAGAATAGGCTCACAGTCACTGCAATACACATACTTACTATTGATTAATTCACACCCATTTACTATTGATTAATTCACACCTATTTACTATTGATTAACTCACACCTATTTACTATTGATTAACTCACACCTATTTACTATTTATTAATTTAATTTTTTTTCTTTTTTTTTAACTTTTATTTAATGAATATAAATTTCCAAAGTACAGAATATGGATTACAATGGCTTCCCCCCATAAAGTCCCTCCAACCCGCAACCCTCCCCTTTCCCACTCCCTCTCCCCTTCCATTCACATCAAGATTCATTTTTGATTCTCTTTATATACAGAAGATCAGTTTAGCATACATTAAGTAAAGATTTCAACAGTTTGCTCTCACACAGAAACATAAAGTGTAAAATACTGTTTGAGTACTAGTTATAGCATTAAATCTCAATGTACAGCACACTAAGGACAGAGATCCTACATGAGGAGTAAGTGCACAGTGACTCCTGTTGTTGACTTTACAAATTGACACTCTTGTTTATGGCCTCAGTAATCACCCTAGGCTCTTGTCATGAGCTGCCAAGGCTATGGAAGCCCCCTGAGTTCACTGACTCTGATAATTTTTAGACAAGGCCATGGTCAAAGTGGAAGTTCTCTCCTCCCTTCAGAGAAAGGTACCTCCTTCTTTGATGACCCATTCTTTCCACTGGGATCTCACTCATGGAGATCTTTCATTTAGGTTTTTTTTTTCCCCCAGAGTGTCTTGGCTTTCCATGCCTGAAACACTCTCATGGGCTTTTCAGCCAGATCCGATTGCCTTAAGGGCTGATTATGAGGCCAGAGTGCTGTTAGGATATTTGCCATTCTATGTGTCTGCTGTGTATCTCACTTCCCATGTTGGATCATTCTCTCCCTTTTTGATTCTATCAGCTAGTATTTGCAGACACTATTCTTGTTTATGTGATCCCTTTGGTTCTTAGTCCTATCATTATGATCAATTGTGAACAGAAATTGATCACTGGGACTAGTGAGATGGCATTGGTACATGCCACCTCGATGGGATTGAATTCGAATCCCCTGGTATGTTTCTAACTCTACCGTTTGAGGTAAGTCAGCTTGAGCATGTCCCGAATTGCACATCTCTTCCCTCTCTTATTCCCACTCTTATATTTAACAGCGATCACTTTTCAGTTAAGTTTCAGCACTTAAGAAGAATTGTGTATTGGTTACAGTATTCAACCAAAAGTATTAAGTAGAACAAACAAAAAAATACTAAGAGGGATAACATATTAAGCTGTTCATCAACAGTCAGGGTGAGGGCTGATCAAGTCACCGTTTCTCATAGTGTTCATTTCACTTTAACAGGTTTCCTGTTCACTTGTTGAAGTTAAATGGACACTATGAGAAACAGTGACTTGATCAGCTCTTGTCCTGACGGTTGATGTACAATGTAATACTTCATCCATTTTAGTATTTTGTTTTTGTTCTAGTACCATTGGTCGAACTCTGTAATTAACACACAATTATTCTTAGGTGTTTAAATTTTAACTGAAAAGTGATCCCTGTTAGAAATTTGGAAAACATGTTGAGTGAAATAAGCCAATCCCAAAGGGACAAATACCACTTGTTCTCCTTGATAGGTGACAACTAACAGCACCAAAAAGGAAACCTATTAATTTAATTTTGGATCCCCAGAAACTATTGGTTCCTAATGTTATGCGGGATCTAAGTATTTCTTGTCCCTTTGAAATACAAAATTTCTTTACTTTACACATCAATTAGGGTGTAGCAATTCAGAATTTTCCTGGGATTTCTGCATTTCAGAATATGGGGCCTAGATTTCAAGACTGTCTCTGTTATTGTTTCTTGCTTCTGCTGATGTGCATCCTGGTAGGCAGCAGGTGAAGGTCTCAAATAGTTGGGTCCCCACCATCTACATGGGAGATCCAGACTGAGTTCCTGGTTCCTAGATTTAGCCTGGCCCAGTCCCACCTGTTGTGAGAATCTGAGGAGTGAAACAGCAGATGAGAGAACTATCATCTCTTTTTCTATCTCTGTCTCTATCTCTCTAGATCACTATATCTCTGTATATATCTATATATTTATCAACTCTATTTCTCTCTATATTTATTTCAAATAAAATATCTGTATACGTAATTTTTCAATCTTGGTTAAGGGTGATTAGTATTTCACCACCAGCCTGGGGAATGATAGAGTTTTTTGTGTGGGCAGAATATGTCAAAGTGCCAACATGGACTCACTGAACATGGAGAAGAGAAGAGCTATTCACAATTAGCTCTGAGAGCTGATACAAGATCTCTCAAGCACCTCACTGGAAGGGTCACACAGTTTCATTCAAAATGTAAATGCACATTAAATTTAGTGGTAGACATTTGAAGGTTTTAAACTTCCTTAATGTGAATATTGTGAACTTCATTTTATAGATAATTTTATTCCTATTTCTTTTTGTTTGTTTTATTTTAAATTTTATTTTTTACAAATTCCATGTATTTCATGTATACAGATTTAGGAACATAGTGGTACTCCCACCTTACCCTCTCTCCCACTCATGCTCAACATTCATCCTCCTCCCTCTCCTGCTCCCACTCTTCATTTTTACAAAGATCTATTTTCAGTATACTTTATACTCTTAAGTTTAACCCTACACTAAGTAAATAGCTCAACAAATAGTATGAAGAAAAAATACTGTTCATCAACAGTAGAGATACGGGCTGTAAATAATCATCAAAACTCAAATGTGAATTTCACTCAAATACATTACATTTGAGGTACTCTATTAGTTACCACAGATCAGGGAAATCATAGAAATGCATTTTTGTGTAGGATACCAAGTATTTAATTTGAATATTATTTGATAAATAAATTACAAAAATGAAATCACATTAGTTGAAAACACAAAACTAAGCATGTTGACCATATGATAGTTTCACTTTCTATGAAAAAACATTTTAGTAATTTAGATTTTTAAAAATTATCCTAGAAGTGCACAAACTTCGGGGTATGCCATTGTTACTCAACCTACTATGGAGCAAATTGCCAACTGCAAAGGCGAGGATCATTGCCTGGGAAAATTGGTAAATATCTACCTCTTTAGATAGCCATTTAATGTAATTCTGACTTCCTTCACCCCAGTTTTACAACTAAGAGACTAATATTTGAAGTGAACAGGTAATTATACTTCTTTCAAGGAATGTAAACAAAGCACATCTTCTTAGACTTACTCTTTTCTAATATTAAAATACAATGATTGAAGCAGCCTTATTTTAAAATTTCTCTTTAATGATATTGCTGGCATTCTTATTCAGAATGTCTTCAACTTTCCCCTCCATCTTTACGATTCACCCTAGAAAAACTTTTACTATGTGTCTAGTAGTTTTACTGTGTTCCTGTTATACCAGTAGAAAAATTATGGAATTATTTTACTTCAAAGATTTTATAAATTAAACTTAAAAAGTCTATAAGTTACTGCTTAATAGATGACTCAAAGGACACTAGCATAGTGTTCTGTCTGTTTAACATAGGTTTATTTTCTTTCTTTCATTCTATTATTGATTTAGCAGATATTTATCAAACTCTTAATATATGCCAGCTGATAGTCTAGGCACTGGGGATGTATAGTAAGTAAAGTAAATACATTAATCCTAATGAGCATGTAGGTCTGCCAACATTATTTTAAGGGGAAAAAACAGAGTATTGACAGTCTGTTGGAAATGCTTTGGTAATCTAATCCTTTGAAAACCTATAACTATGCACATTTGGATAACATTGTATTATTCAGGTTTCTTGGCCACTTATTGTGCTACACTGAGAATTTGCTATATCAGTTGTATAATATAGTATACTTCGGAATTTTCTGGGGCGTGACTTCCATGTTTTTAAAATGAAAAAATTGTAGAAATAGTTTCAAATGTTGTTATTCTAGATTTTTTGCTATGTTCTTCAAATAACAGGAATATTGTAATTTATTCCAAGTTGAAAGTAAAGTTGAATACTTTATTTTGTAATTTGATTTTGTTTCTTTTTAGATTTAAAGAAAGGCAAATCTTCTAGGAAGGCTGAAAAACATTGGTTTTTAGTTTTGTATATTGGTTTGCCTATTCTATTCATAGCCACTGCAATAATCGCAGCATGGGCTAGGTTGAAAAAACGTTCTGTCAAGGAAGAGGAATCGATAAGTAACGAGTAAGTTGAATTTGGGTTCTGGGGTTATATTTAGCAGCATTTGACTCTAGTAATGTGTGAGACAATATCATGAACAGCAACAATATATTTTCCTGAGATTTTGAATACTATCAGTGTTTAATTTTGTGAGAGTTGTCAATCCTAGAGAAAAGTTCCATGTACTGTAATGTACTCTGTGGCTGTAGGGTGGAAGGCTCTGTAGTTAAGCTGCTAGGTCTGTTTGCTCTATAGTGTAGATTAAAGTTTCCTTGTTTTTTGGTTTTTTTTAAAAGATTATTTTTATTTTACTTGAAAGTGAGAGTTACATAGAAAGAGAAGGAGAGGCAGAGAGAGAGAGAGAGAGAGAGAGAGGTCTTCCATCCACTGGTTCACTCCCCAGTTGGCCACAAAGGCCTGAGCTGAGCCGATCTGAAGCCAGGAGCCAGGATCCTCCTCCAGGTCTCCCACATGGGTGCATGGGCCCAAGGTCTTGCACCATCTTCCATTGCTTTTCCAGGCCATAGAGGAGAGCTGGATAGGAAATGGAGCAGCTGGGACTAGAACTGGCGCCCATATGGGATGCCGGCACTGCAGGCGGTGGCTTTACCTGCTATACCACAGTGCCAGCACTTACAGTTTCCTTGTTGATTTTCTGTCTCATTGATCTATCCATTGCTGAAAATGGTGTATTAAAGTACCCCCATTACTATTGTATTTGAGTCTATATCTCCCTTTAAATCCCTTAACATTTATTTTTAATAGCCAAGTGCTCTGTAAGTAGTACATATACATTTATAATAGTCACATATTCCTGTTGAATAGATCCTTCAATCACTATATAGTTTCCTTCTTTGTCTCTTTTAATAGTTTTTGTGTTAAAGTCTATTTTGTCTGATATTAAGATGGCAACACCAGCTCTTTTTTTGGTTTCTGTTAGCATGGATTAACTTTTTCCAACCTTTCACTTTCAGTCTGAGTGCATCTTTGTTGGTAATATGTGTTTCTTGTAGGCAGCAAATAGATGGGTTTTCTTTTTTAATCCATTCAGCCAGTCTGTTTCTTTTAACTGTGGAGTTTAGACCATTCATGTTCAGTGATTATTGTTAAGTACCGAGTTTGCCCTGCCAAGTTTCCATGAATAGTTCTGTTTATGTATTTTGGATTTTATTTGTTCTTTTGCAGAGTAAATGTCTGTGTTCATTTCCTTCTGTAGTGATGTTCCTGTTTCTGTGTGTAGCACATCCGTGAGCATCCTTTGTAGGCTGGAGAGTAGTTATAAATTCTTTCAATTTCTGTTTGTTGTTAAGATCCTTATTTCTCCTTTATTCATAAATGAGAGTTTTGCAGGGTACACTATTCTGGGTTGACATTTTTTTTTCTGTTAGGAACTTGGAGTATGTCCTGCTATTTTCTCCTTGCCTGTGGGGTTTGTGATGTAAAGTCCTGAGTGAGTCTAATTGGGTTTTCTCTGAATGTAATTTATTGTTTCTCTTATACACATTTTAAGATCTTTTCTTTATATATTACTGAGGAGAGCTTGGCTATAATGTGCCCAGGTGAAGATCTTTTCTGGTCGTGTCTACTGGGAGTTCTGTGTACTTCCTCTGTCCTGGATGTCTCTTTCTTTCTCCAGATTGGGGAAATTCTCTGTTATTATTTCATTAAGAAGGCCTTCTACTCCTTTCTTTCTTTCCATGCCTTCTGGAATTCCTAGGATCTGTATGTTGGTCATTTGATAGAATCTTGTGGCTCTCCAAACGTTATCTCCAAATTTATTAATTTCTTCTCATGTTTTGTTTGACTGTATTATTTCCAGAAATTTGTCTTCTGGTTCTAATATTCTTTCTTCTGTCTCACTTATTCTATTGTTCAGGCTTTCCACTGCATTTTTTATTTGATCTATTGAAGTCTTCATTTCTAGTACTTCATTCTGACTTCCCTTTAATATCTCAATTTCTTGGGAACACTTTTCATTTAGATCATGAATTTGTTTCTGATTGCTTCTAAGTAATCTGACGCTTAATTTTCTGAATTCTGTTTCTGACATATCCTTGATCTCTTCTTCTTCAGCTTCTATTGTTGAAGAAGAATTGTAGTGTCCCTTTGAGGGGCTCATACTGTCTTCCTTATTCTTATTAGGGTTTTTCTTTTGGTTATTTTTTGCATTTCTGGTTGCTTTTCTCTTTAATATGTGTCTCGGTGCTAGTGGTGCGATTTCCCTCTGCTATGAGCTTCTATCTGTCTGTGTGTTGCAAGTGTAAGTGCACAGCCCTGTCTCTGGAAGTCCTGCTCACTTCTCAAGAGTGATAGAGAGCTTTGGTGCACTAAACCCCACCTGTTGGGGCCGGCCTCACTTCTCACTGGTGTGTGAAACAAGCTCAGCATTTTGATATTCAAGATTTCTTGTTGTACAGCTTGCATGGAGGTGGTGGAAATTACTCTGAAATGTAGTGATCCTCATTCCTGGGTGGAGGGTGCAGTGAAGTGGCCCCCACAATTGATGGATGTATGCATGGCAGGTAAATGTGGTAGCCTTCTGCTTACATTCAAAGATGTAAACAAACAATATGGCTTTTCCCAGGTGGCTGCAGGTCCAGCTGGGGGTAGGGAGAAGACATAGATGGACAGGGGCATGCCCGACCTCTCCATTTGTTCCCCTATTCTTCCCATTTGGAACTTCAAACAGTTCACTAGGCTCCAATTCCCACTGCTCTCCACAGCTCCATGGACTCTCAACCACGCATCTCACCTCATTCATCCTGGGAGTTCTCTGCTGCACCTCTTCTGTGCCTCCACCACTTTTTGCTCCCTCGTGGTGGACCTGCTCAGTCCCTGTTGGACTCCTGGGCTTCTCTGTGTGAAATTCTCACGGATCTGTAGCCTTACTAACTCTCTATGTTGCCCTATGTGACTCGGAACGTCCTGTTGCTATATTGCCATCTTGGCCCACTGAATTTCTTTAACTCATGAATTTGCCACTCTTCGCTTCTGAGTAATCTTATGATTGTTCATTTGAATTCCTTTTCAGGCATTTCATCAATTTCTTTGTCTTCTTTTTCTAATATTGCAGTGTTTATTCCTTTGGGGAATATTGTTGCTTCCTTGTTCTTGTTTCTTATACTTCTGTGTTTATCAATAGGCATTTGTGGAAACACATGGTTGTCTCCACTAATGGTTATATCTTTGTATTATACCTCTGTGCCTTAGTGATATTCTAAGTAGTATTGTCCTTCAGTGAATACCCAGAGTTGTGTCCTTGGTGGAGCCAAGGAGCTCTGGTGAGTACTCAAGTGTGGAATGTGAATCTAGGGTGACACCCAATTTGAGTGTCATATAACTCCTCCAGTGACAGCTCTGGGGAGTGTATGATCACTCATATTGGCATAATCAGAACCTCACTTCCTCTTTTCCAAGTGTTAGCGCACAATGGGTACAATCCTCACCCATGCTGGTGCAGCAAACACACAAAGGATCTCTGCAGTCCTCAGTATGAGCCTAGAACCCTCTACAATGACCCACCACAGGGAGAAAGGGAGCTCAAAGTCTCTGACACCTGATCCAGTGATTGGTCAGAGATTCAGCTAAACCCCACAACCTTTCATGCTCTCACTGGATTCCCACAGTCACAGTGTATAAGGCTCCCACAGTTAAAGGATCCAGAGGATTCCCTCTTTGCCCCACAAGCTTGCCTGGTCGATGGAAAAAGCATAGTCATTTCCAGAGCCAGCTGCTTGTGGGTGCTTCACACAGTTTAAGCCCAGAGCCTGTAGTATGTTGAGAGGATGGGTACCTAGCCCCCTGTCAACCCTCCCAGCCAGAATCAAATTCATTGGGAAATGAAGATTTTTCCCTCTGGTAAAATCTCCTGATTGTGCATATGGGAGTTTCTGTAGCCTCTAATAGTATCAAGATG